AGCTGTAGTAGTCCCCCCCGTCGGCCATGTTTGCCCCGGTGCATGCCGGGAGCTGTAGTTCCCCCCCGTCGGCCATGTTTGCCCTGGTGCATGCTGGGAGGTGTAGCTCTCCACCAGGGCCGCATGTCAGCCATGTTGGCTGCAGTGCATGCTGGGAGGTGTAGTTCTCTGCCAGGGCCACCTGTCGGCCATGTCGGCCGCAGTGCATGCTGGGAGCTGCAGCTGGGGCTCCTGGTGACCGTGCTGCTCTTGGCGGTTGGCCGGCCACCGGTGCCCCCCCTCGCCCACCACGGAGCCTCGCTCCCTGGTTGATCCGGGTGGGGGCAGAGGGTGTTTCCCCACCCAGGACCCTCCAAATCACCTCCAAGACCAGGGACCTCCCACCCCACCCGAGACGACCCCACTTTTGGCCCGTCCTGATGCGTCCCAAAGCCATCCTCGGGCCCCCCCCGTCCCCTTCGAGCGTCACAGGGCCTTTTTCGGCCCCCTCCAAACCTCTCCTGAGGCCATGAGCACTCTTCAACCAAGGCTGGACAACCAAGTCTTCGCCTTTCAGACCACTGATCCAGGCACGTTTGGATAATACGACCACCCGCCCCCCCGCGGAGAGGTGCTCAACACCATCACTGGGAAACCCCGTCTGCCGAGCCCTGAAGACGCGTTCAAGGCCATCACCGCGTGAGGACACCACGTCCATGGAGACGTGTTCAGCACCAGCGTCGCGTTAGGAAACGACGGCCACCAAGCCGTGAAGATGCACTTCACCACCATCGTTGCATTAGGAAGCCCCACCCTCCACCACGAAGACACGCTGGACACCGTTGGGGTGTTGGTGAACCACATCTGCCAAGCCACGAAGACGTGCTCAACACCATGGTTGCGTTAGAAAAACCACAGCCGCCACCACGAGGACGCGCTCAATCCCGCCGTTGCGTGGGGAAACCACATCTGCCAAGCCATGAAGATGCGCTCAATACCGCGGTTGTGTTCGGCAACCGCATCCACCACCATGAAGACGCACTCAACACCGTTGGTGTGTTGGGCAACCACGTCTGTGAAGACATGCTCAACACCATCGGTGCGTTAGGAAACCATGTCTACCGCCATGAAGATTCATTCAACGCCATCGAGGTGTTAGGCAACCGCGTCCACGAAGGCATGAAGATGTGCTCAACACCATCGGTGTTGCATTGGGAAATCACATCCACCACTACGAAGCTGCGCTCCACACCGGCATCGTGTTGGGAAACCACGTCCTCCACCACGAAGACGCGCTCAATACCTTCATTGCGTTGATGAACCACGTCCACGGAGCCGTGAAGACGCGCTCAACACCATCATTGCATTGGGCAACCATCTCCACCACCATGAAGACACACTCAATACCTTCATTGCGTTGATGAACCGCGTCCATGGAGCTGTGAAGACACGCTCAACACCAGTGGTGCATTGGGCAACCATCTCCACCACCATGAAGACACACTCAATACCTTCATTGCGTTGATGAACCGCGTCCATGGAGCTGTGAAGACACGCTCAACACCAGTGGTGCGTTGGGCAACCATCTCCACCACCACAAAGACGCGCTCAATACCTTCATTGTGTTGATGAACCGCGTCCACGGAGCCGGGAAGACGTGCTCAACACCAGCGTTGCATTGGGCAACCATCTCCACCACCACAAAGACGCGCTCAATACCTTCATTGCGTTGATGAACCACGTCCATGGAGCTGTGAAGACACGCTCAACACCAGTGGTGCATTGGGCAACCATCTCCACCACCATGAAGATGCGCTCAATACCTTCATTGCGTTGATGAACCGCGTCCATGGAGCTGTGAAGACACGCTCAACACCAGTGGTGCGTTGGGCAACCATCTCCACCACCACGAAGACGCGCTCAATACCTTCACTGTGTTGATGAACCGCATCCACGGAGCCGGGAAGACGTGCTCAACACCAGCGTTGCATTGGGCAACCATCTCCCCCACCACGAAGACGCGCTCAATACCTTCATTGCGTTGATGAACCGCGTCCACGGAGCCAGGAAGACGCGCTCAACGCCAGCGGTGCATTGGGAAGCCCCGTCCACCAAGCTGTCGTGCATCCACCTCATCCACGATCGCTACGGTTCTTCTCAGGTGCTTCCTCACCACCCTGCATGAGCCACCGGCTCGTGAGCCGCGTGGCCGGGTGCCGCCATCTCAGCTCGTAGCAGCTTCGAGAAAGATTTTTCTTTCCCCCCCCCCAAAAAAAAGCCACTTCCCACACCCGCAGGAGCAGCGGAAAGCTCTTCCGGCCGTCGCGGTGGCCTAGACGTGGCCGCTGC